GGCCTCAAATGACGTGATTGTCTCTGAACGTGTGAGGCACCACTGCTTGGGTGCGCGGGTAGCCGCCATCGATGTGGTAGATCTCAACGTGTTTGTTGTACGTACTACAGTAAACTCACCGGCCTGAGATCCAGGAGGGTGTAATAGAGGTAAATGTTCGCTTACAGTGGGGATTCGTCTTTTAGAACGACGCTGCCACCACGCCAGTAGGCTAGATTCGACTTAAATGAAATTACACACACGGTAGTCTACAGTTATAACGTTTATTCAGCAAGAACCAAACACATGTAAATATCGACCAACAATGGCTGACTCCGGTGCCCCGGGAGAGGGCGCACTATTGTTTACCATTGAATAACAACCCTGGCGTAAGGAAAACAGAAATACAGGAAGTTTATGTGAGTATTCGCAGATAACTATTGGAAACATGCCGCAGATAGGCCAAATAAATACGTTCGACAATGAAACAGAAGATTGGCCGGCGTATGCGGAACGGCTAGAGGCGTACCTAGAGGCAAACTCGGTACACGACAATAGGAAAGTAGCTACATTGCTGACGGTGATAGGGCCTAAGGCATATGCACTACTCAATGATCTATGCTCACCGGCACTGCCGAAAATTAAAGCATATGATGAATTAACGAAGATGTTAGACGAACACTTTAATCTTAAGCCACTAGTTATTGCAAAAAGGTATAGGTTTCATAAACGGGATCAAAAGCAATCCGAAAGTATCCAGGAATATTTGGCCGAATTAAGAAAATTAACAAAATATTGCAAATTCGGAAATAATTTAGAGGACAGTTTAAGAGACAGATTGGTGTGTGGCATCACCACGACAGCCATTCAAAAGAAATTGTTGGCTGAGGCGGACCTAACTCTACAAAAAGCAATTGAAATAGCTATTGCCATGGAGACGGCGAGTAAAGAAGCCGAAGAGTTAAAACACAAGCAAATAACGGCACACTATGTTAGGCCGACAAGGAAACAGCTAGGTGGTAAAAAACCTACCGCCAAAATACAAAACCAGTGTTACAGATGCAACAGGACAGGACATTTTCCTGATAAATGTTATCACTTGAATACCGATTGCAGATTTTGTGGTAAGAAAGGCCACATAGAAGTAGCATGCAGAGCCAAAAATGCTGCTAAGGCTAGCACAAGAGCAACACCCAGACAAGATTCAAAACCAAGGGCTACCAGAAAAATTCACACGGTAGTAGAATCTGACAGTGAAGGTGATGACGTACTATTATTAAGGTTGGAAGGGTGAACAAGCTTTCAACACATGACAAACCAATATGGATAAATCCATTAATTAACAAGGTGGAAGTGCCAATGGAAGTGGATACTGGATCTGGTCTATCAATAATGTCAACAAAGGACTGGAAGAAATATTTCCCAACATCAGAATTTTGCAACCATGTAAACAAGGATTTAAAACCTATTTTGGTAACCACGCGGAAGCAAAAGGTCATCTAGATGTTGACATAACATACAATGGTCAACAGTATAAGAGCAAGTTGTACATCGTAGATAATGGTGGACCCCCATTATTTGGAAGAGAATGGTTAAAGGGAATACGACTACCATGGAAAGACTTATTTCACTTCAACAAATGTATGACGACTACACAAAAGGTGGAAGTCTTAATAAGCAAATTTCCCCAGTTATTTACTGATAAGGTGGGATTGCTGAAAAACAAGAAAGACAAGCTAACGCTAGAAGAGAACGCCACACCTGTATTTTGTAAAGCAAGAAACGTACCCTATGCTTTGAACCCGGCAGTAAAAAAAAGAAATACAACGACTACAGGAAGAAGGGATCATATCCCCAGTTGACTTTAGTGAATGGGCAACCCCTGTTGTCCCAGTTGTCAAACCAGACAAAAGCATTACGCTTATGCGGAGACTACAAAGTCACATTGAATAAAGTCTTGAAAAGCGACAAATACCTATTACCTAAAATTGAGGATATATTCGCAAAATTGGCTAATGGAGAGAAGTATACTAAACTAGATCTCAAAAACGCATACTTGCATTTGGAAATGGAGGATGAAGCAAACGAACTGCTAACAATTAACACGCACAAAGGGCTATTTAAAGTCAATAGGATGCCATATGCTATAACCCCGGCATCAGGGATCTGGCAGAAAACAATGGAACAGATTCTGCAAGGAATCGAGGGAGTCGAATTCATCCTAGATGCTATGATTATCACTGGTAGAACAGACGAAGAACACCTCGGGAACTTAGAGCAGGTATTAAGGCAGCTGAGTAACCATGGTCTCAGTCTTAATAAAAGCAAATGTGCATTCCTGAAGTCTAAGGTTTCGTTCTGTGGACACATAATTGGACAAGGATGGTTTGCACAAAACCGATAAAAAGGTGCAGGCTGTAAATCAAGCACCTAAACCAAACAGAGCTAAGATCATTTCTCGGGTTGCTGAACTATTACCACAAGTTTTTACCAAATCTTGCAACAGTAATTCATCCGCTGAACAAGTTGCTACAGAAAGAGATCAGTTGGTACTGGGATGAAAATTGTGACAAAGCGTTCAAGGAAGCAAAAAGGCTAATCACCCAAGACACGGTGTTAGCACATTATGATCCCGAACTACCAGTACGATTAGCAACCGATGCGTCACCCTACGGCTTGGGAGCTGTATTATCCCACATTATTGGTAGGGAGGAACGACCTATAGCGTTTGCATCTAGAAGTCTCACAGCAGCAGAGAAAAACTATGCCCAAATAGACAAGGAGGCACGAGGGATCACATGGGGTGTCAAGAAATTTAGTTCATATCTAATTGGAAAAAAATTCACACTGATCACAGACAATCAACCCTTAACTAATTTATTTAACCCATCCAGTGCAGTTCCAGTAACCTCTGCAGCAAGATTGACAAGGCAAGCCATATTTCTTGCAGCTTTTGACTATTATATTGTATGTCGATGCAGCGCAGATCACGGAAACTCTGATGCGTTATCAATGTTGCCACTCAAATCTGAAAGAAAAAGTGAACAACCAGATGAGATTGACTTGTTCTACACCGAGTATTTTGAGGCATTACCTGTGTCATGTGATCAAATTAGAGAACACACCAGGAGAGATCCTATACTGTCAAGGGTCATCATGTATACAAAGGACACATGGCCCAGAGATAGAGACACAGAATTTGAAGCATTCTATCGGAAGAAGGATGAGTTATCTCTATTCAGTGGTTGTCTACTTCGGGGTAATCGAATTGTTATACCCCCAAAACTAAGGGCTAACGTATGTGATGAGCTTCATGAAGGGCACTTAGGTATTGTGAAAATGAAGGCACTGGCTAGGAGTTACTGTTGGTGGCCAAGGATATACAGCGATATAGAAAGTATTGCCAAGTCTTGCGCAGGTTGTCAATTAACACAGAAAGAAGCACCTAAGTCACCATTACGTCCCTGGGAATGGCCATCTAAAGTTTTTGACCGTATTCACATAGATTACGCAGGACCGCTTGATGGCACAATGTATCTGATTGTCGTCGATGCACACTCAAAATGGCCGGAGGTCTTAGCAACTTGAGAGAGTACATCAGCAAATACTATCACACTTTTGAAAGGTGTCTTTGCAAGATGTGGCCTACCAAAACAATTAGTATCTGACAATGGAACACAGTTCACGTCACAGGAATTCCAGGATTTTTATGAAATGTAATGGTATCCGACATACTAGGTCAGCCCCGAACCATCCTGCTACCAATTTAAAGGAGCTTTAAAGTCAGCCAGAGGAGAGAAGCTTTCCAAACAATTAATACTTAATACACTACTGAGATAGTCTTTTATTTTTCAATCTTGATTTCAGAGGTCAAACAAATTTTTCAATTTTTTTTTTCAAGCATATAGTGGTGTAGACTAGTCTTTTAAGAACATTTTCTGGAAAAAATTTTGGATACGACGCACCGTTATGAAGTTATGATTTTTTAAATAACATGATGTCAGAAAATCAGCCCAAAAGCTTATATTATTTCTGTTGGTTACGCACCGCTGATTCGCAATGTTTGTCATCACTTCATGATGTCTACCGATTCGTGAAAAAGGCCTATTAGGCTGTGTTCTCATAATCATTATAATATAGGCTATCAAATGCATGCTTTGTTGAAATAAAGTTGGTGTTTAGGGGTAGGGCCTGGCCTAAACCGGAGTGGGGTTAAAGGCTAGTCTAGAAATTATTATTTGCTGAAAGTTGATGTATGTAATCACCAATTATTAATTAATATAAATAGTGACTTTTATTTCAGAATGTCTTTGTCTGAAGCCTTACTGTGTCTGGCAGTTGATTGAACAAACAGAAAATTACCTGCTTTCGTCAAAGGTGAATATAATGTTTTCTTTAAGTTTACTCGTCCTAAGTTCTGATTAGCAACATGCTTAAAATAAATAATATGTACTGTAGTTACTATATGATGACGGTTATTAAATACAGGTCTCCCTCCAATCAAAGACCACTTTTGGGACCGGGATTTTCATGGTCTTTAGCAGCTTCGGTCTCTAGTTTAGAATAGTAAAAATAAGACATAGTCAATTTGCGAATACAGAAAAATGGTCTTTTTTAGAGGTGGTCTTTAATTGGAGCGGTCTTTCATTAGAGGGAGATCAGTAATCAAATTTAATGCGTACGTAATTAGGCCAAATGGAACAAAAGAGCCAACTGCACTCAATGAGAGGGTAAACAAGCGATATGCCCTAGTACGCAGCCAGTGTAAGATGCCCGCTGTCATTTGTATGTCCACCCACGTCCTGTACCATTTTCATGTCTGTTTTTCTACTTGCCAAGTAAATAGCGGGCATTCTACACAGCTATGAGGTTTCTATAAACGGGAGTACACACTTTTGTTCTATTTATACCCTTTGATTTGGCCTATAAGGGACATCGGATTTGTAACTGTTTTGAAAACTAAAAAAAAAAAACAGGAATGGAAACTGATAATTCACTTTTGAAAAAAAAACTTCTAGTCTCTTACTTATCTTAGCTACTGTACATTATGCATACCATACTTATACATTCATTTCGAAGGGATATAACACATTTAAAATTTTATTTATTAAGGTACATTTAATACAATTTAATTCGTTTTCCTAGACACATATCACCTTAATTAAGATTATTTTCAAAATAAAAAATTGAGCATAGGTATTTAAATTGACAAAAGGTCATTTTCCTCTGCCCCTTAATTTCTTATAATTGACCTGTATAGTCTGATTTTTCATTTATTTTGATTTTTTCAAAAAAGGGTTTTAAAATGCCCTGCACAATGAAATGCATATGATCTATTTTACATTCTTGGCTTGTTTTTCGTGTTTAAAAGCGCATAGAGGTTTCCATAATATGTGCTCTATATATAAGTTAGCCATTATTATTCTTATTTCAGATTTTGTTATTGTTATATCTTTCAGCAAGTGTAAAACTCCGAAAAAAGTTAGTACAAGCCAACGTGATTCAATATTTCAAGCTTGATTTGTTCAACTGCAGAATTCATACTATCTGATCTTTTAGCAAGAATTTTAATTTAGCTTGCTACCATCGGACATGAAAAAGCATAATTGTGGCAGCTGCTTCAATATACAAAGAATGCTGGTTTATGCATACTAACACACAAGGTTCTTGTGATTATTGTTTTATATACAGTAATAAACTCTAGTGATGCTTTAATATAAAAGGCCTATATTACGGACAAAAATGCTGATTTATACGGGACTGTAAAGCGAAGGACTCTAGAATAAGCTTGAATTTGAGGTACAGTATGTGTAGCAGAAGACTTAAACCAGTTTTTAATTATGGTTTGTATACCATACAGTCGTTGATTAAAGCCATTGTTATTTTACAAAAAGGATCTGGCACCGCTTGAAGACCAGTTGGAACTTGGACCAATTGAAAACCATTTGGAACTTGGATCAATTGAAGACCAGTTGGAATTGGGACCAGATGGAACTGACACCAGTTGAAGACCAGTTGAATTCGATACAAGCCGACTTCACTTGGGTTTCACCCCATGACGATGGAAAACGCTCTAACTTTTGAACTTTAGGCCAACGTAAAACTTCGAAGATTTAATTTCCCTTAAATTTCATTTCTTTACCGAACTTTTGTTTGCTTGGAAATTGCATTTTGTTTATTAAGAAAGAAGTAAATGGGTAAGTTGAATACATTGTTAAATTCCATCATTGTGTGAAAGAGTTTGAGTGTATTTTCAATCATTGCATTTTCTGATTCCGTTGAACAATTGAGTTTAGTTAATGTATTGGCATTACCATATTTTTTTAAAAATCTAATTTGCTAATTTAATCATAATGGTAGACGAAGCACCACAAGTGCCACAAGCCCCTCAATTGAGGCAGACAGACTTCCTATCTAAACGCTATGATGGTGAAACAACAGACCATGATCAATATAGTGCGCACTTTCTCTCCTTTATGGACTACTTAGCCCATACGCTACAAAATCCTGCAGATGATGCTGCATTACAAAATGTCATTAGCATTTTTAAGTGTAGTTTACAAGGTCAGGCTAGGCTACGGATCCAAGGAAAGACATTTGATGAATTGGATAGCTTGAAAACTCAATTTATTAACAGGTTTAACAAAAACAAATCAGTGTACGCCCACATTAGGGAGTACGACTCAATCACTTACCAGACAGGGGATAGTGCTGAAAGGCATATTACCCGTATCACACAGGCAGCACAGAATAGGATACGCAGATCCACAGATAAAAAAATAATTTATTGCAACACTACCACCTAAATGTAGAGCAGCGGTTGCTATGTCAATACCGGCTGATGCCACACTAGATAATCTAGTAACTAGTGCTCAAAATTACCTTGATCTGTCCGTGGAGGATAAGCCACGAGAAATCAGGTTCAATATTCAAGAAACATTGGAAATTGCAACACTTAAACACGAACTTAATGCATTAAAAATTGACCTTTCAACTGCTAAAAATAACTTGAATAGGCCAACTGATAGTCCTAGGCGTTCACGTTCAGTCGAACGACACCATGCACCAAGAACTAATAATTCCCGTCGAAGCCCAAGCCCATATCGCCAAACTAGGCATCGATTTAACAACAGAACGAGGTATATAGTTTGTCATTATTGTTCTAAACCAGGTCACGTTTGGCGCGAATGTAGACAGCGTGCCACCGAATTAAACCAACGTCCACCTCAACAAAATTTTCAGTCAGTTTATACCAACAGACGACAGAATTCACATTTTCATTAAGGGGATTAGACAACTGCGCCAATTGTTCAAGTCCCCATACAACACTTAGTGCAAACAAACAGGAACCAGCATTACATTCACACAAGGCGCAATATCTCGGAAATTGAGATAAGGTTGATTTACAATTAAATGCTAAAAATTATGTTAATGGTAATTTACCTGATGGCAAAAATGTTTTGACTTTATTTGATAGCGGTGCTACAAAGACAATTATATCTCAATCCTATGTCCAATCTTCAAAGTATTTGTCACAGCTTACGCATACACTCGTACAACCGACTAAATTTCGTTTAGGGAACGGTGAATACTTATATGCCAAGTACATTAAAATTTGATTTATCAATACAAAGTTACAAATTTAAAATTTCAGCTTTGATTGTAGAAAATTTGACTGGCATTGATTTAGTTTTAGGCACAGAAACGTTAGCTGACTTAGATGGAACGTTAAACTTTCGGGATAACACATTTCACATCAGATCAAATTCAAGCCAACATCGCATGTTACAATTAGGCCGGGCCATACTAAAACTTTAAAATTAAGGGCTAGAGTCCCAGCTTTTGTACGCAATTCTGAAGTAGTTTTACATGCTATGGATATGATATCTAGGTTATGTCCATCAGATACGTTAGTAACACTACACAGAGGAGAAACACAAGTAAAACTAACTAACACGACTAAACGAAATGTATCAATATCAAAATACAAATCAGTTGCTAATCTTCACCTAACTAACCTTGTAACTGTGACTAATGAACCAATTGACAGACTAAAAATCAAGCAAGATAACTTAAGAACATATCCACATTTAGAAATGAACGATCCATTAGCTTCAATGACAGAACAAGAAGTACTCAGGAAATATATTGATCTTAGTGACAGCATTTTATCCCATACTGAAAAGGATGACCTCTATGATAAACTAACTAAACATAGGGAAGCATTTTAACTGTATGGTGAACTTTCCAGTTGCCCTAACTTTCAAGCAGACATTCATTTAACAAACTATGACCCATTTTTCATACGACCATATTTCGCTACAGACAAAAAGAATATTGACACAGAACTCAACAAATTAGTTAAATTGGGAATTCTAGAAATAGGACATCAATCGTACACATCACCTGTACTACTAGTTTCCAAGAAAAACTCAACTGATAAACGCGTCGTTACAGATTTTTGGTACTTAAATTCCAGAATCAAACGTATAAACCACCCATTCCCGCTACTAGTTGAAACTATAAAGACAATAGGAAACGCTAATGCTAAAGTCATAAGTTTAATTGATCTCAAATCCGCATTCCATTGTGTTCCGTTAACAAAACAAGCTCAGCTAGTACTAATAGCTTAATCATGGTGGTAAACATTATTATTATAAGCGGTTGGCACAAGGATTAAACGTTTCACCAGGTATTTTTCAGGCTAAAATTGACGAAATTTTGAATGATATTCCAAATTCTAAGGACTTCTGTATTGCTCACCACGATGATATTATTTTATTTAGTACCGATAAGACATCGCATAGAAATCATCTTACTTCATTGTTACAAGCTCTCAAAACTCACTACACCTAGTACACTTCGACCATCAACTGACCCACTAATTGTACCACACCATTATCAATACCAGACAGACCTATACAACAACCAACAGTACTTAGGGAACAGAGACTTGTGGATAAAGAAAATAATGATATAACCTATAGAGATGTACCAATTGAATTGTACACATCACCAAGCCCATTGGTTCCAACTATTACTGAGCTAGAAACAACACACATTCCGAAACAAAAGGAATTAGACAAATTGATGGACGTTATCTGTAGAAAAATAATCAGAGATTATAATTTGCCAGTTGATGTTAAACAATTACAAATTGAACAGGAAACGTCACCGTTCTTTAAACCTGTCTACGATTATTTAGCCCATAATATTCTGCCAGCCGATAAGAAGGCAGCAAGAGCGATTCAAACAAAATCAGAACAGTACATACTTTGTAACGGTTTATTATTTCGTTTTTTCCTACAAAACAAAGGTGATGATTTCATATTACAATTAGCAATACCAGAAACACTTGCCGAAACTATCATATCTCAATTCCACGATAATTTGTTAAGTAACCACCAAGGTACAATGCGAACATACTTAACAATCCGTCGACTTTTCTACATGCCTCATATGTTTGAACGTATTAGTAATTATGTTAAAGCTTGCCTTAGATGGGGTCCATGCATGAGTGTATCAATGGGAATTGTCAATAGTTTCACCATGAATCATAGTAACAGAAGTACGAATGCCTTTTTCCCTCATACCTGTCTCTTATACACATCTAGATGTGTATAACACCCAAGATCCATGTGGGGCCCATCTGATTTAGCCCATAGCCCAGATATAACCCATTTGGGGCCCATATGGAACCCACATGCATTTTTACATGGGTGGTATATGGGTTTCCCATATGGGACCTATATATTCCCGACCCATATGGGTAACATATGGGCTATCCTTGAGGAAACCTCCAGATTCTGCACCCAAGCCCCATGTGGGGCCCATGTGGTTTAACCCATAGCCCAGGTATAACCCATTTGGGGCCCATATGGAACCTATATTTCCCAACCAATGGCTATGATATGGACTAGCCCTCAAGGCACCCTCCGGATTCTGCACCCAAGCCCCATGTGGGGCCCACATCTTTCAGAGAACCCATATGGGGCCAACATGGTACCCTTATGCATTTGTACACGGGTGGAATACGGGATTCTCACATGGTACCCATATGCAATTGCAAATGAGTGATATATGGGGCCCATTATTTTCTGGCCCATATGGATGTAATATGGGTCTGCCCATATGGGGCCCCTCGTATTCTCCACCAAAGCCCCATGTGGGACAAACATGGTACCCATTGCAACTGCACATGGGTGGTATATAGGTGTCCCATATGAGGCCCATATTTTCTGGCTCATATATGGATGGCATATTGGTTTGCCCATAAGGGAGCCTGTATGGTTTAGCTGACATGGCCCAGAGAGAACAAATATGAAGGCCACACATTTCTGACTTGGCTTCTAACTCTGGTTTGAACATTGGCTGAGTCGATGACCATGAGCTAGGTGTACACTTCAACAAATTACTCCTTGTCTGAAAATAAAACTTTTCAATTGTACGTATAGTACAAAATATTTTCACTGCAATGATTAAACAAAACGGTTATTTCATTTTAACACATCAATCATTTTATTTATTTTGTAGAGAAAGCAATATTGTCAATTGCAAATACAAATAGTGGTAAATGAAATCAAAATTTCTTAATGTCCCTTAATAACTATACAACTCAATTTCTCCAGCTCCTTGGAAAGTAAGAATATTCCATCATTTTGATCGCATTGGAAATATCACATATTTAACGTTTTTACAGATTATGAATATCCTCAAATTGATAGGGTCCATGCAAGAGTGTATCAATGAGAATCGTCAATAGTTTCACCACGAATCATAGTAACAGAAGTATGAATGCCTTTTTCCCTCATACTTTTCACAAAGGTTATTAAGAAAATATTCAATCGCCTCCTTTTTTTTCACATCTACAGTAGTTGCATCCTTGCACTTCAGAATTCTGCAAACTGGCCCTGGGGAAAAAAAAAGAAGACAGGTCTAAAAATAATAGCATTTAAGATTTACTCACTTAGATTTATCAAATAAAAAAAAGACATGCAACACAAATAAAATTTTAAAAATTAGTGTTTTCATTGACTCTGGTTTTTGTGCAAATTTACTTTAGGTCTGAACTATTGATATAGGTGACATGTCTCCTAACAACTTTGGGATTACGCACAATCATCACAGCACAATTATGACAAATTATTACATTTATTATGCATTAGAAGTGTGAAGTGAATGTGAATAAAAAGATATAATTTTAATTACGATAAAGTATTTTTACTGGGCTTCAGCGTTCGATTTACCCAGTACCGCATCGCAAAATGTGACATGTTTTACGCTAATTGCGAAGCACTTCCACAATTGCATCACAGATAAATGCAACGCAATTATTTGCCTAGAATTAACCACTCAGTCTTCAGCAAGGCCTGGCTGTAAAAACTAAGAGGCTTGGTGCACAAAAAATTTCAAAGAGGTTAAATTACAGCATTACAACTATTAATGTAAAACAAGAAACTTTTGTGACATGAAACTTTCGCGAATTGATAAGGGCACATATGAAAAAATTGTTGATTATCACTCCTGCGCACATTAACTATTTGGAAATATTGATGTGGTTATAAAAAAAAACCACCCTCATCACATTTTTTTTTAAAGGAGTATTATTCTAATAATTGTTTCTATGTGCCCTAACACCTGAATTAATTCATGAGATGACAATATCGTATCATGAGTTCTAGGCTAGAAAAGCCCAGGCATAAACCTGTCTATCTGCTAGGGTTTAGCTGGCCAGACACAGCTAATAATTACATGATAATTACAATCCTCATTAACATACGATATTAATAAATTCTGTATGGTACAGTATTTGTGAAATTTTTTTGCACATGAAAGTTTAGCTGGTTTTACAGTATTAAACGCTTTGATTGTCTTAAATATGATTTTATTAAGGATGTGTTGAGTACTATTAATAAGAGTATTATCCTATAATTCAATATATATTTATAGAAGCTAAACAGATTGGGTTTTACGAATAATAAAGTAACAATTAGTACTTAGATCCACACATTAATCCTAAACATTGTTATGTTACATGGATATTATTTCATCAGTAGCTAAGGCGAGACTTCCTTTATACCTTGTTTCGCATACTTATTCTTCTAAAGATCATCGGAGGAGGGCAGAATAAAAATAAAGATAAAATTTAGTTTTTTTATTCAGCAAACAGTCCTGTCTCTTATACACATCTAGATGTGTATAAGAGACAGCAGGTCTAAAAATAATAGCATTTAAGATTTACTCACTTAGATTTA